CATGTCCAGAGGAGAGCAACCAAGCTGGTGAGGGGTTTGGAACAAGTCATACAAAGGAGCAGCGAGGGAACTGGGGTTGTTCAGTCTGGAGAAGAGGAGGCTGAGGGGAGACCTGATCGCCCTCTACAACTACGTGAAAGGAGGCTGTAGTGAGGTGGGGGTCAGTCTCTTCTCCCTGGTATCAGATGATAGGACAAGAGGGAATGCTTTCAAGCTGTGCCAGGGCAGGTTTAGGCTAGACATTAGGAAAAACTTCACCGAAAGGGTTGCCAGGCTCTGGAATGGGCTGCCCAGGGAGGTGGTCGAGTCCTCATCCCTGAAGGTATTTAAAAGAAGGATAGATGAGGTGCTTAGGGACATGGTTTAGTGGTGGGATGGCAGGGTTAGGTTAAAGGTTGGACTTGATTATCTTAAAGGTCTTTTCCAACCAAAGTGGTTCTATGATCTTCAAAACAGAAGTCACCCTTACACAACTTCACATTGTCTAAGCGCATGGTTTTGTGACAGCACAGAGTTACTGATCTTGCATGGCTTCTTAACCATCCTTCAGTAAGACCGCACATCAGGTTCTATGATGGGTCATCCTGAAGGTTCCTTCCAGGTTATTATCAAGAACCAGATCAGGTTTAGCCCTCAAGGAAAAAAATACTGAGTAGCATTACCATGCAGGCGAGCTCTTCAGCAGCTATGTCCCATACGCTACGATTAGCTCCATATGGACTTGTCAGATCTTGTCTATTTGATTAGTGTTTTTCCAACAGGTTTGCAACCCAACCTACATTGAACAGACATTAGACAGGTCTTGCTAACAGAGAGCAGCTCCACTCAGCTCAGCTTTGTGTACAATAGCCAAATTTTCCTGTTCATTGCACTTGTCCCAACACTTTCTTTTTTCAAATGCATACTTCCACCTGACAGGCAATCTGAAGGTATGGTGACACACTCAATGCTGCATTAGATTGTATAACCGCAACATGTACAGGCCTGCTTTGCAACCACATACTTGAATTGATGAAATACTTATTTCTGAATCTTTTACTTATAGATATCTAACAGAGTACTATGCACATTAATAGAGAACATAACAGATTCTGAAAGCTATCAGAAGTCAGGGAAGAACTCTGGCATTAAAGAGGAATAAAGCAATTTACAAAAGGTTGTGCATGTAAATTGCTTCAGATTAACATAGGGGAATTCCAATCAACTAGCTACCTACTGCCTCCACTGAGAATGAAGACTTTTTCTACTCCCATGCAATTCTAGCCTTAAAATTACCAGCTGCTTGCTTTTTGCTTATTTCACAGAATTAGACACACAATAGTTTTTATGA